ATGATGAGGTTAAAAGCCGAGATAATAAATAGAGAAATTAATATTATTCAATAAGCTAGAAAGAATAATTATCTGATCACAAACATCTAATTCGCATTTTTTTTTTATCATGTATCAATAGACAAAAGCTTAGGAGATTGCTACAGACACAGCTTATCAACACAACAAATGACTAGCACTAACCTTAATGACACAGAATGGCCTGCATTATAGTTAAGGCTAGTGTTAGAATATGGCAGAATTAGGGAAATTATATTACTTGCTGCTGTGTCTGTAGCAATCTCCAAAGCTTATAGGTAAAAATCTAGAAATCACAAGACGAAGTCACAAGATTATAATAGCCAATCGGATAAAAAAGAGACACCTCATTTCATATGCCTATAAACCATAAGTAGCTGCACAATGTAGTTGCACAAAACCAGAAATGGAAAATGAATTTTTCGATAGAGTTGCAGATGAAACTTTTTTCATTATAAGTTCTTTGTCTGCTCCTATCACTATATTGAATTTTATCAATTTTATTAATTTTAATAGCATTTTTAATTCTAACCAGTTTGCCTGAGATAATTAACAAAACAAATTACATAGTTTTTAATACATTTTTCATTTTAATACTGCTAGAAGACAAAAGAAAACTTCACTAAAAGAAGATTACAAACCAATAATTACAACAAAGAATTTATTACATAAAGTTAGAAAAACAGATAAATATGCGTAAAGTGGGATAAATGTGATAATAATTATAAAAATCCGAACCTATTAAAGAGTTAATAGTGAATAAATTATTAGTTAACCTATTTTTATTTATTAATTATGTTTTGAAAAGTTAATCTTTATTATCATGTTCATTATTAGATATACAATATAACTTTTAACCTATGTAATTAATAAAACAATAATAGTCATATATATATTAGCGACAACTCTATAATATTAAGAATACATAAAATAAGAACATTAATATATGCTTTTTGTTATAATAACATGCTAAACGGTATTAACAAAGTTCATTAATTTAGATCTTATACATAATGTCTTAAACTTCTTGTTTTTGCTGGCAATTCCAGAATTTAGAGCTTACATATAGTTAATATGACTAGTATTACAATAAATATTCACTTCTAAGTGAAGTTCTTGAGGTAGCTGATTATTTTTGATTATTTTTGCATAATGAATATAGACATCCTTTTGAAGTTAGAAATGGCTTTTATAGTGTTTTTTTGTTAGTGAAACATTACGTTTTTAACAAGTACTTTAAACTGTATAAATAAATTATCTGAGCAATTGGTTTGCATTATCCAATCAGACAAATTTCTATCTATGACCATTGGAGTTAAACTCAGCATGATTGATAGAAGATTTCCTTACGATGGTGACAGTATAAAAAACAGAGAATCAAGCTTAATGACAGTAAGCAGGTTAGTAAAACAACAAATGGTTTAATTCTTAAGTGTATAGTTTGAAAATATATAGATACCTTTGAATTATTGAACTAGGACAGATAAAATGAACGAATTTAGTGAGGTAAAATTTTATAAACTGGTATAACCACAAGTCTGATTTAGTGGAATTTTCTTATTTGAAGAAATTCCTGAGCTGCTGGCCAAAAAGATATGGGCTGTAGTTAGAGATGGGCACGCGCGAGATTTTTAATATGATCCTGAAATAAGATTATCTGACCAGCATTACCATAATATCTGGCTAGCATTAATATAATATCTGACTTGCATTAACATATTTAGCTAATGCCTAATGATAAGAATTTACCTTCTTTGCCATTGGTATCATTCGCTTACATTACAAAAATATTCTTTATGATTAAGTCACTCTTTTAAAATTAAATAACATATGTAGTAATAATAATATTTGGAATCATTTTACAAAAATTGGATCAGATGAAACCTTTAACTGAAGATATGCTTAATGTAATTACTGCTATTAAACCTTGCAAAAAATATGTGGAAATTTACTATTTTGATTGGCCAACAGCAACAACCAAAATTTAGGCAAAATTATTTGAATTTTTAGTAAAGAAATTGTGGCTGCCTATTAAGTGAAATTAGGGTTTAAAATTTTGTGATTCAATGAATCGCGTGTGGAGAAACTGTGATTTTCCCATCTCTAGGTACTATATATCCTGTGAAATTATATAAAATCCATGTTACTAAAACTTTTGTGAAATTACATTTATTGTAAATTTATAAAATGTAATTTTCAACCCTAAGTGAAATATGTTCCTGAGTTAATTTTACCATTACACAGACCCAAACCTTAAACAATTAAAAAATTAAACTCCACTCAAAATTATGTATAATGCGGACCAAAATTTTGTCGATCACAGCCGTTGGCCAAGCAAAATTGACGTTCAATGCGCAGCACCTAGATTTAATGAATCCCATGTGGGATTTTTTGAAAAACCGTGATTTGCCCATCTCTAGTCATAGTATATCAAAAATTCTCTATATATCTAATATTAACAATTGTAAAATTTTATTCTGAAAACTTTTACTTGGAGGTCGGAAGTTTCGCTTTTGTTCTGTTACATGAGATCCTATGATTTTATCAAATACAGATAGGGTCAAAAGTGATCTTCAGCCTGGGATTTTCTTGACATAAGGGTATCCGATTTAGTAAAGCAGACAATTTATATGATATAAATGTTTCAAAAATCACAAACAAAAACAGATAAAAACAAGAATAATCCCTTGATCACAAACATCTAATGTTATAATTTGTCAATAGCGATAGACAAAAAGCCTCAAAGTATAAATACATATAGATGAAGTCACGAGATTAGATTAATCAATCGGATGAACCCACTTAACTTGCTTGTAAACTATACACTTCGTATTTCATACTCCATTCCTGGTATATTATTATTTAGAGAACATTTTAATATTTGCATAAACTAATGATATAATGAATATGTAATCTCTTTAGTGTTATAATTCGATCGTACTATAGTTCAGATCTAATTAGCTGGAAGATCATGTGGACTGAAACTGGTACTTATTATTGCTCGTCATAGGATCTGTTCCTTTCCCGATCTGCCATGCGCCTCTACCCCGTGCATGGCTGTCGTAACTACCTAACACTTGTTATGTCCTCACCAACACTTCCTCTATGTCTGACCTGTAGTGCAATATGGGATAGGGTCACAGAACAAGTAAACAAAGTTATGTGACAGAATTTCTGAGCTATCGAATTTGAGCTGCGTGTTGTTCTCTCTTTTCTTTTCTTTTTTTTTTTTTTTTTTTTTTTTTGGGTGCGGCGGGGGGGAGCTGGACACACTGTCGAGCAGAAAAAATGACGAACAAAGAACCCCTAGATTATCAAGTTACTCAAATACCATTTCCAGGTCCCTTTCCCTCTGACTAAGTCTAGTGAATGTTGTCACATGGAGGTCAGGTGACTCGCAATAATGCACCGCCTTGTGACTTCATTCACAAGCGGGCCATTATTATTGCTCGTCATAGAATCTGTTCCTTTCCCGATCTGCCATGCACCCCTACCCCGCGCATGGCTGTCATAACCACCTAACACTTGTTACGTCCTCACCAACACTTCCTCTATGTCTGACCTGTAGTGCAATATGGGATTGTTGGCAAGGATCGAATAGGCCGATATATAATTAAGAACAAACCCAAACTTATAGGTTTCTTTAATTCTTTAATTCTTATATTTATTGTTTTCATTAAAACCTTAATTAATCATCATTCTCTCCTTTATTTTTATTTTATTCCTACTATTATTATTATTATTATTATTATTATATTACTATTTTTTTTTTTTTCAGAGGTCCCAGCTTTCACACAGTGGGTACCGTACCGTCAATCAACTTTATGCCATACTCCATAGGAGGTCCCTGCCTCTATGGTGGGTCCTGTCCTTGGAAGTCCATTCTCTCTTTTCTTTTTTTTTTTTTTTTTTTTTACCTAAAAACCCATTCGGCTAGAAGTTCCAGCTTTAGCTGTGGACACAGTTCTTAAGTAAAGCATGACTGCTTTTGAATCCCACACTCCAATTGCATGGATCTGTGTAAGACTTATACCCACAGCCATCACTGCTGTAGCTCCACCTATTCTCAATGAGTGGGCTGTAAAATGGCCTGCCAAATCTGCATGTTTGGCAAATCATTTTACTATTGAACCAATTGCTGAAATAGAAACCTTTTTTCCTTGCTTTGATAAAAATATGGGGGCACTTGTGTTGGTTTTTGAAGGAATCTCCAGGTATTGCTTCAAAAGCCTCATCGGGCAATACTTAGATTTTGTACTTTCTATCAGTATAAACCTGCCATTCCTAAACTGGTCAGTTTTTGACTTACAAATTCTAACCCACAATGTCCATTTGTTATCCCATTTTATGTCATCTATGCTCAAGTCTCTCAATTCACCTGGCCTTCTCATTGTCCTCAATCCTAGAGCCACTAATGCCTGATCCCTTTTTCTTATTGAATCGTCTGCCCACAATTGAGGACTATCCACATAACACTTCAAAGCTGCAATCGGCAGTGCATCCCAGGGCCAAACTGGTACTTTATCCTTTGTAACCTTTTTTCTCAGAGCCCTTAATACTGATAAAGTTTTCCTAAAGTCCTTTTTCCCTTTTAAACGCAGGTTATACGTCACAGCCTGGAGCACATGGGCAGCCTGAGACATATAACCAGCCACATCCAGCCACATAATGAATGCTAAAATTCCATCTTCCATTGGGTTGTCTGGATCTACCTCAAACTTTTTACAAAAATCATTGTAAAGGTCACAGTATTTGTCCGATCTGGCCCTATAAAAGGGAGATAATGAGTTTTTTGCCAATATTCTTGCCTTCTGGGATAGCTCCCTTATGGATGAATGTGGACTGCTACAAACTTCCACCCTGGGTTTCTTCAGGGTTCCACCAGTCCTGAAGGGCCCAGTGCAAACACGGCTTTTGGTTCTGGCAGAACAAGTGCCCTCTATTTTTGCTCCAGGAGTAGGGGCCACCACTCAGCTGAAGACCATTCTGGAATTACTATCGTTGTCCTTGCCTTGCAACTCTTTATATGATAAAGTACTCTCTGTATCAGATGAAGAGGAGGGCAAACATAATTTACTTCGTTTTCCCATTTTTGAGTGAAGCAGTCTACTGCCTCTAACCCTGGGCAAAAATAGTAGCTGTTGAATCTCTGCACTTTTGTGTTTAAGTGGAAAGCCATTCGGTCTATTGAATGTGGCCCGAATGCAGCTTCTATTTGCTGAAATATCTCCTCTTGAATGTACCAGTCTGATGAGTCGAAGATCCTGGTCCAAAAATCTGCTGGATTTTCTGCTGATGGTACTCACCTCATCTCGTAAATCCAAAAGTCCCTTTCTAAACAAATATGCCACAAATCTTTGTAGGCCTCTTTTTGCCAAATTTGTTGCCCACCTCTTTTCATTGTTGCTAAAGCCATGTGACTGTCTATAAAAACCAACACCCAGGAGCCCTGCAGAAGGTTTGCAAAGCTCTAAAGACCTAGCAAAACTGCTTCGGCCTCTAACATTGCAATTTCCTGAAAACTCAACCTTTCTAACCAATTTCCGAATACTGTTAGGCCATCTAACTTGGCGCACCAACCAGTCGTAGAGGCATCTACAAACAGAGTCCTTATCAGTGACAGTCTCCAAGCTGGGCGGCCATTGTACCTTTCTAAGTTGTTTGTCAACCAACGTAAGTCTATTTTTGCTTGGTTTGACAGCCAAATTTTTCGGTCCCATTCCCAACTCTGTCAATTTGCCATATCTATTAAGGAGTAAGACTCCAGGCACTTCACTTGTGTTGGGGCAAAGGCCCTCACTAAGCTTTGAACTTTTCCCATAACCCTTGCCAATTGCCTTGCTGTTACCCAATTCATATTTAATAGTGTCCTCAAACATGCTTTTGTTTCTGCTAGCTTCTGTTCCGGCACAATCACTTGTGCCCTTTTTGTATCTACAATTAATCCGTAGAACTTGATCCTCGTCGATAGTACCGGGCTGCTCTTGTCCCATGCTAGTATAAACCCACAATTCTTTAGATCTGGTAATATAATTTCGTCTCGAATCTTTTCTAGTATTATAGCTGAGGGGTGGGCTATCTATATATTGTCTACATGTGAACCTGAAGCTATCCCCTTTTTTTTCCAATGGGCAATTAGCACCCTCATAATCTTTGAGAACACCCAAACTGCTTGGGAAAGGCCAAACGGTAATACCCGGTACTGATACCAAGTGTTCTCTACTCGAAACCCTAGAAAGTGACAGGCCTTCTTGTTCATTAGAATATGGTGGTAGCCATCCCTAAGGTCTAGGGTGATCAGTGACCAACCCTTCCCTATTGACCTTAGTAAACCTCCTAGGCCTTCAAATCGAAATGATTTTTCTGATAATAATTTGTTTAGCCTTCTCAGGTCTATGACTAGACAAAAATGTTTCAATCCTGATTTTGGCACAAGAAAAACTGAGAATACTTCTAACAGAGGCGCTGGGCAAAATAATGTTGTACCCACCCTTTCTATCACCCCTAACTTTTCCAATCGATGAATTTCCTCTTTTAACTATATCTTCTGGTCCGATATTAAATGATAGGGTTTCAGAACCTCGCTTCTGGCTAGACTCTATACATTTCTTGGAAACAATAGTATATGGTTCTTTAGCTAGCAAACTATTACAGATGGGGGGTTTATTTTTTCTAACCAATATTTTACTGCATCTGCTTCGTGAATTCTTCCAACTACTTCTCTGCTTCGGTCTATCTCCTCCACCTCCTTTTCTATCTGACCCAACTTTTTCACCCGAGTGTGGTCACCCTCTTCTGTTGTTTTCTTTACTGTTTTGAAAAAAGTTGTTTCCTATCGAATTTCCTTCTGTAGTTCTAGAAGCACATGTTGAGGCCATATGGCCTGCTCCACCACAATAGTAGCAGGTGATCGGTTTGTTGGTTCCTTTTGCAAAAGAATTTTGATAAGTTGGGCCTGGATTTGAAAAAACATTCTGGGCCTGATACCCTTGGAAAGGGAGGGAGTATTGGGCATAGGGTTGGAGTGCTGAGTAAGGTGAGTAATAGTTTCATTTTGGGCTGGTTTCTCATAGGTTACTCCTTTTATTTAACCAACCTCTACGGTTGTAAGATACAAGCTGACCCTCATATGGTTTTGCTTACTTTCTTGCTTCGATAAGTAGGTCCTTAAATTCATCATCTTCACTAGGCGTTGGTTTTGGAATTTTCGCGGCCACATTCCAGCCTTCCTCTTCAGCCACCCTTAATATAAAAACCCTCAACTTCAAATACTCCTGTGCCTCTCTGGCTTTTTCCTTCGAGTCTTCCTGGATTGCTTGGTGAAGTAGTCTGCCAGTATCACATACTGCGTCATATTCATGCTGATCTCGTGGTCTCTTAAACTTCTTTCTTGGGAAGCTTTCCTCTGTGGCTCTTGCCCCGTTTGACTTATTCTGTTGAGCTGACCATTGCTGCAAACTTTTGTCTAGGACTCTTGATAACGAATCACCTATTTTCTCTTCAATTCTCTTCTCTAGTCTACTTTCTATAATGTTCAAAAAAGAATTTTCATGCCCATCTATATTGTCTGGTGACGGGAATCTCTCCCTATTATCATAGTCTTCATCAACATTTTGTTCTACTAACTTTCCTTTTCTGACCCTTTGTGGTTCATAGTTTATTTCAGGTTCTTTCCAAAAGGCTTCTAAACGGTTAATCAAATCTGTCTTTGTATCTTCCACCTGAATATTACACTTCAAACACATTGCCTTCAAATCCGTCATTCGTAAACGGTTCCAGTCTACTATATTTGCAGATTCCCCTTGTTTACTAACAATTTCGTTAAGTATAGTATGGTTTTCCTCTGATATTATATATTTATTTAATAACAAAAAACTATGACTTGTTCTTGCGACGAAGCTGGACACACTGTCGAGCAGAAAAAATGACGAACTAAGAACCCCTAGATTATCAAGTTACTCAAATACCATTTCCGGGTCCCTTTCCCTCTGACTAAGTCTAGTGAATGTTGTCACATGGAGGTCAGGTGACTCGCAATAATGCACCGCCTTGTGACTTCGTTCACAAGTGGGCCAGTACACGTTTTAAGGGGCATAATCACGACAATGATCATCCAATCAGATACAGAAGAGACACCACTTAACTCTTTCGTAAACCATACACTTCGTATTTCATACTCCATTCCTGGTATACTCTATGTTGTACGTTGTACAAACTCCGTTCCTGGTATAAATTTAATTAATCAAATCAATTGAGTGACGTAACTAATAAGTTAATATGGTAATAACGAATTATGATGATACTTCGAAATACTAAAAGAAATGTAATGGATTTTTCAATATAAGGGTTATTAAACAGTTTTTATAAGTAAATAAAGTTCTAACAACAAATTTATTCCAACACTTGAGCAATCGATTCTTCTATTTTACCATTTAAGACATCGAAAAACTAACGACTTTATTAAAGGCTCGAAGGCCCTGCTTTTATACCTTTCAATTTATTAGAAGGTACGATAATCTAACCTTTTGATCTATGAAACTAGTAGTTTCGCTCACTAACACTATCGCTACTTAGTTTCAGTGATCCGTGGTTTCGACACTAAAGACTATTATAGGGTCTGGGTACGATCTTCGATTATAAAAGGGTAAGTATTTACATATTTGGAAAATTCTATTTACATTTTAAAGGGCTTGTACTGATTCTAAGTTTCACTCAGCCCGGCGCACTTCCTATCGTCACACCATTCTCACGTTACCACCGTAACATCAATTAACCATGAAACCGTTATGATTAAATCGGCTAGAAATTATTTGTAATAATTTTCAAATATCGGGCTTCTATCTGTATTATTTTCATTTGGGCCCCTTATTAGTAATTCATACGAAAGTCTTCCTATGTGACAAAAACAGTAAAGACAACAATAATTTCATGTATGTATCACGGGTTAAAAGCCACAATACTAAATAGAGAAATTTAACATTATAAATAATCAATAATCTAGAATAATTCTTTGATCACAAACATTTAATTTGCATTTTTTTTATATCATGTGTCAATAGACAAAAGGACTATATAGTATAAATATAGAGATCTCAAGATGAAGTCACGAGATAAGATATCGGATAAAAAAGAAATTCACCACTTCAGATGCTTGTAAACCATACTCTGCGTATTTTTTGCTCCGTTCCTGGTATATATACTTTGATCATGAGGCTGTTAAATATTTAAACTATGTATTAGTAACTCAAACATTATTTCGGTCGAATCAGACATTTCGGAAATTTGTATTATTGGCGAAATTAATATCACCCGACCTTTCAAGCATGACCATCCAAATCAGTTTCGTAAAAATACAATTTATACACAGCATTATATGAATTTTCAGGTAATTTTATTATGGAAATTTTTATTATACCAAATTATATGTGTTTAAACCCGTACGTAACTGATTCGGGTGGTTATGCTTGGTTTGCCATATCGCTAGGGATGGGCAAATTGAATCTACTACGCAGGCCGCATTATGGTAGTTTGCTGCTAATGCGGGCCAGAATTGTGAAATTCCGAAACATTCCGCCTACGTAGCGGCCCATCCCTACATTTCGGATTCAGACTTAGCAAAACAATTGGGTTTGCCCAAAACGTTAGTACTCACCATCGTTGATCAGACTTCCGATCGATATAAATTGACTTCCTAAAATCATTGCAATTGACGTACATAATTAGTTTTCATATATAATTTTAATATAATGTAATATAATGTAGGCAATTTCTATTTATCATTATGTGTATGTACACAGGTTAGAGACTGGATTCAAGTAACCTCATAGCTTAAAAAACATAGTCTTGACTCAAGTCAAGACTATGTGGATTTACTGACACCCCAGATCCTGTTGGACGCTTAAAAATACTGTTTTTGATTGGACGAAATTGATTACAAACTCTGATCTGAAATTATACTGATGAAAAAACAAAATTACAGTAAAAACTATATTAAAGTTATAAAAGATATTGTCAGTTGTGGCATTTATCCAAAATAAAATACAGATTCTATTAAAATTTTGCAATGAAAGGTTGTTTTATTAGTAAAAGTACGATTTTTATAAAGTTTCATCATTTTTATGTTATATTTGTGTTTTTTTAAGCTATGAGTTGACTCGCTTGTATTCTCTAACACGAGTATATAGAAAAATCAATCAGAATGCAAGATCGTGTGTAGCAAAAGATTATTAAAATCTCGATTATAAAACTGAAATTTCTCATGAATTTTAAGTAGTTACTTTTTTGTTACACATATTTGCAAATTAGTACCCGTGTACAATACACTATATGCAACTTAGAAATTCTAAAATAAATACCTTCACATTTTTGCAGGTTGATTAATTCGCTAGTCGATATACTTGACATTTCTATTGTTTTATATTCTTTCGGTAGTTTATCTGCATCTGGTATATCTGCAACTAGTCTATCTGCATCTAAGAATTGTTTTCTGATTTCAGATACATTATAATGATTATAATCTAAATTATTTGTATCATCAGAATCATTTGCTTCATCTGAATCATCTGAATAATCTGAATCATCTGAATCATTTAAATTAATTGAATCATTTAAATTAATTGAATTATCTAAATTAATTAAATCATCTAAATTAATTGAATCATCTAAATTAATTGAATCATCTAAATTAATTGAATCATCTAAATTAATTAAATCACCTAAATTAATTGAATCATCTAAATTAACTGAATCATATGAATTCTTTGAATAAGTGAAAATTTCCATGATTTTATTCAATCTTTTAGCTGACTGGTAGAAATCATAAGTGCTAGGTCGTCTTTTTGGTTCAAGATCCATGATTTTATTCCATTTTTTAAATTTCTGATAGATATCATAAGCGCTAGGTCGTCTTTCTGGATCAATATCCATGCATTGCTTAGCTAATTTAACATAGCAATCCGGAGTCCCAGGTGCTAATTCAGGACGCTTTCCATAACTACATATACGTATTGCAAGACTAGAGTTGAATTTATAACCATTAAAAGACCTTTTTCCAGTTGAAATATCCGACATGATGACTCCAAAACTATAAATATCAGCAGCAAATGTGTAATTTTGACCTTGTAAAACCTCTGGCGCAATATAAGGCATGACTCCATAAATAACTGAATTATTGTTATCATTATCTTTCCATGACGTCGCCAGACCAAAATCTCCAATATAAGCATTATTTAAATCATCTTGAAATATATTCCCACTATGTAAATCACAATGAATAATATTATGCGAATGAATCGATTGAAGGTCGAATGCAATGCAAGATAACAAGTTTAGTTTTTTGGCCCAATTCATTTGCACAATATTGTGAAGATTTTTAGATAAAGATCCCATTTTTGCATACTGCATTACTAAAAAATCACCGGCGTCAGCTTTTAATAAACCATGACATTGTAGAAATGTAGGATTTTTAGATGCAACACTGTAGAATTTATTTATCTTTATAAATTAGAGTAAGAATTAGTAAAATTAAAAGTTAAAATGCATAAATGCAAAGCATTTACCTCTGAATAGGCTTCTTTTTGTTTGTGAAGCGATTTCATTGCAACGGGTTGTATTAAACCATTGGATTTCCACCGAGCCAAATGAACATTTGAAAATCCTCCTTCCCCAAATTTTCCATAGATTTCTACTTCATTAAATGGAATTTGTGGCACTCGATATTCGCTTTCACACAAAAAATCTTCGGTATAAAATTTCGTTTCATAACTACATTTATTAAGCTTTGCCTTGCGTAACCACTCTGTAGCTTTTATGAAATTTTGAGATGTTCCGCTACCATTCCGATAACAAAGGCCAACTTGATGCATACCGTTAGGGTAATCCATCTTTGCAGATTTTTTATAATAAGCGAATGCCTTATGTTCATCCTTTTCAACCCCAATTCCATTTTGATAACAATAACCAACATTACACATTCCACAAGCATTGTCCATTTCGGCAGACATTTGATAATAAACGAATGCCTTTTGTTCATCCTTTTCAACACCGATTCCATGGCGATAACAATAACCAATACTACATAGCCCGTTAGAATTACCCATTGCAGCAGATTTTTGATAATAACCGAATGCTTTTTTTTTATCCTTTTCAACACCGACTCCATTTTGATAACAATAACCAACATTATATATACCACTAGCATCGCCCATATCAGCTGATTTTTGATAATATATAAAAGCCTTATGCTCATCTTTTTCAACACCAATTCCATTCTGATAGCAATAACCAACGTCAATAGCATCGCCCATATCTACTGATTTTTGATGATAAATGAATGTCTTGTGCTCATCCTCATCAATATTTACATTTTTGATACTCAATTCTTGGAAATCAATACCTACGAGAACTGTATTCTGAAGATCTGCAAATGTGAAATCTACGTCTTTAATATGTGCGTTTTGAAAATTTGCATTTCGAAGCCTCGCATTCTTAAAATTTGCGTCTTGAATAATCGTATTCTGAAGATCTGCAAATGAGAGATTTGCGTCTTCAAAATGTGCATTTTGAAGAGATGAATCCCGGAGATTTGCATTTTGAAGCGTTACATTTTTGAAATTTGCACCTTGGAGAGATGAACATCGGAGATTTGCATCTTTAAGTTCTGCATTTTGGAAATTTACATTATTTAATTTAGCTCTTTCCGCTTTCAAATTATTAAATATCTTATTACACAAATCTGCCCCCGAAATATTAGTATCATTTAAATTTACCAATAATATATCAGCTTGTGCTAAAATTGTAATAGCATTAGCAGAAGCAACTTGAACATCATCATTCTTTTTAGAAGCTTCAATAAAAGCTAGTAACTGTGGTTTGAAAGTTTCCATTTTTTGAACAATATGTTCAACTAAAAATTGTCTAACTCCGTGCTCAAACACAAATGATTGCTCTTTGAAGAGTGCTGCATGTAGGGAAGATTGTGTTGCATTTAATAAAGATTCACATGACTCTAGAAATGCCTGAGCAATCAAGTGGTCTCGCAAGGTTTTATGAATAAACCAATATTGATTTTCACGTCGGATTAATGGCATACTAAAGCGCAACAAGGAATTCTTAATATTATCATCATCTAAATAGGTTGCCCATTTTGAATCATATGAATCATCTGAATTATATGTTATGACCACATTATTATTATCTTTAAACATTTCGACAGCGAACTTTTTACTAAATTGTAAACAAGATTTTGGAAAATTATATCTATTTAATTTGCTAAATTCTTTCTCTTCTTCATCTGTTTTATGAATTTTATACAGACGATCTTGCGCACGGTCAAACCATGTCTTTAAAAATTCGTCATATAAAGCTATGCGATTTATTTGTGCTGTTCTATTTTGTTCTATAAAGCGTGGTAAGACACTCAAGGTAATTTTTAACAGAATTGGATTGCTAGCTAACTCTTCTGGTATCTTTTTTATTTGCTGTAAATATGTGTCTTCACTCAAATGACCTTTTTTTTGAACATATTTCATAACATATTGTTCTATCTCTTTTTCTGAAAATGGTTTAATTGTCAATTCTTGAAATCCTTTTTCTCCGTTTTTATTGGGAAAGAATCTTCGTTGGTAACCTGAACCCAAATACTCTGGTCGACAGCTGATAATAACTTTTGCATTTTTCCATTGACAAAATTTGTTCTTAATATAGCAATTACGTTCACGTTCAACAATCTCATCATAGCCATCTAAAATAAATACAAACTTTCTTTCCCGTAAAGCATTAATATGATTTGTAGATAATTTGCATCTTTCTTTTAAATAAAGTTCAATAAAATCTTCATCTCTATTAAACATTCCTAATTTTAGTCGCGCTAATGGTATAAATAAAGGAATAGGTGATAACTGGTCGTATTCTTCCCATAAACGACGAGCAAGATAGCGGCCAAAAGTTGATTTACCCACACCTCCCATACCCAATATCAATAGTACCCTTTTACATTTCGAAGCAACTATTTCATTAACGGCTATTTCCAAAATTTTGTTGGCTTTAAATGCTAAAAACTTATTCACCGTACTTTTAAAAATACTTTTATCATTTAAATTTGAAAATTTATTTGCTTCTATTTCTAGAAGTTTTACATCATCATCCTCTATGATTATCGGATTCTTCTTCAAAACATTATTAATTGCTTTCATTAATAATTCTTTATTCTTTGAAAAATGTAAAAATTCATTTGCTATTATTTCCTGAAGCTCTAGTGCCTTATTGACTTTTAAATCTAAAAATTGATTGACTACTTTTTCTAGAATTTTTTCATCTTCAAAGGTTAATAGATTTTCAGAAGTAAGAAAACTATTAACTGTCTTTATTATAGATATTATATCTTTTGAATTAGAAAGCTTATTTGCAGCTATCTCCAAAGCTTCTTTGTTTTTTGAGGTCAGTTTATCCTTTGATTCTAAAAATCTATTGACTACTACTTCTACATCACCTTCTCTGTTTTCAGAAACCATTTTTTTTTCAAAATTTGACGACTTTATAATCGATACTTTCCATGTTCCCTGCGGTTTGACATACAGTCCCAAGGCTTCTTCAAATTCATTATCTAAGTCTGAAAAGAATTGGTCTTTTAATCCATTTAATTGAATTAACAATTCTCCTCTACTTTTTCTTAAGTCATTCTGCTGAGTTGGTCGCAAAAAATCATTTAGCGTCTGTTCACATAAAACGTCATTTAGCAAAGTATTTTGAAAAAATGAAACAGATGTTTGTACGTATTTCGGTAAAGTTTTCAATTCAACATGCTCCAAGATCCATTCGTTTAGTTTCGGATGGACTCCCCAAAATTCTTTATTTTGACAAACATTATTTAAAAATTCAATGGCACCTTTACGAATGTCATTATCCAGTTTGGAATCTGCTGCCAATCGTTTAAGCCGTTCGCATAAGCCCCATAAAAATTTGTCATCTTGTCGACACGGAATTTTGTAAATAAACTGTTCCAAGCTTGCAAACTTAAAACTTTGGATAAATAAATCGGTAAATCGTAATGCCCAATACCATTTTCGCTGTGTTTCCCAACTGAAACTCTGTTTTATATCTCCAACTCCCTCTTTGACTGATTGAATCTCCTTAACCAAGTTTACCAAATCTACTGCCACATTTATAATACCTTCGAACCCTTCACTAAGATCTTTGAAAACATCTGGTAGCTTTCCCGGATCTATGTTTTTAATAGCACCTGCTAATTTTGTTATACCTAAAAGGACTTTGCCACCTCGCCGCTGGAATGCTTTCCACGGACTTTCATCACTTGGTATACAATTTAAAGCCTGACAGGCATAGCCTGCGAGATAAGCTAGCTCTTGATTATTATCACTATTTAGATTTTTGAAAGTATCGTATAAGGGTTTATACAAATTTTCATATTGAAGATCTCGTACTTCACAATCAGCCATTACATCAAATAGCCATCCCAATGTTCGCGTCATTTCAATCAGTTGATCCTTGTCTTGAGTATGTAGATTTTTAAATTTTACATTTAATACATTTAAAATGCAAACCAAATCATTAGGCTTTAGGTGTTTTGGATTTGCCTGACGGATAATATGAGATAAACCTTCCAATAATGACGGAAATAAAAAACCAAATTGATTGATTTTATTAAGAAAGTTATTCACTAAATGTCTATAAAGCTCTTCCTCTGCATCTGGTAAATTTGATAACACCATTACTTCGTGTATTAATGCTAAAGTTGGAATATCCATTTTAGCAAATTTGTCGATAGTTTTTTGCACCAATATGCATAATTTCATCTTTTGCTCATCTGAAATATCTTTTCGGTGTATCTCATAAGCCAGTTGCTGAGTATTAATGGGCACATCATCCTCACCCAATGGAATATGTTTCTCTGGAACATAATGATTTTTTTGAAAAAATTTGTTTTCAATAAAACGTTGGGCGTCATCATATTCATTATTTTGCGAATTATCCTTTTTTGATAAAGATAGCTCTGTTAAAATTTCATCATATTCTCTGCATGCTTGTGCCAAAGTTTTTTTAATCTCACCAGAAGCAGGATGATGCTTATTGGCTATTTTGAGGTTATTAACAGCTTCTTTGTATAACAAAGCACTACATTCAAGGTTTCGATTTTTTTGGTCATGCGCTTCATTTAAGTATTTTATACCTTTTCCAAAGTGGCTTAGATTTTGAGTGATTGGGATTTTTGCAAATGTTTTATATGTCTTATTTAACGCCCCATTTATCATACCACTCATTTTCGTACTTATAAAGACTTTTTTATTTTATTTTACAGACAAATTACAGCTACAAATTTTAGGACAGTAAACACATCGATGTCTAGGAGCAATTAAACATTTATAGAAAACTACGATCTACAGTCCAACCAGTTTAAATGATTAGGATTGGTGGATAAATTAACAATTTTAGGTTTGTCTTTCATTTATTGTACAGTGTGCAACGCTAAAGGCCATGCAATCTTTAGAATTGAATTTTTTTTTATCAATTTTTTAGTAAAACGCATCTATTGGTGTTTTTACACTTATACATATATTATCTAACAAATTGGTTAATTAATTTGATTGCTGCGCAAAACATCTTTTTATGATTTTTTTATAATCCCACAACTTTTGTTAATTATACTGTTTTTTTTTTATGTACTAGGAATCGGAAACCGATATAAGTCCGGAGCATAAATAAATAAAGTATAAATATATCATGAATTTCGTATTACTAATCAATAACCTGTTTGTTGTGTTTGTTGTTCAAAAATACTTTTGCAATCACGCGTCACGCGTGCGGACAGACAAAAAATTTCCAAATTACGATATTGATATATTTGATTAAGATAATTATGCTGACGCATCAAAAAAGAATTTTTCATGGTCAAAATGCATCAAAAACGTAACTTTTGTATCACATAGTGCGTAGAAATTAAGTGTCCGTCGCTATGCTCCGGACAATAATATCACTACGTACTGTTGAAGTAAATAGCCAGCCTAGCAAAAATATGTACCTCATGATCACAGTACAATCTAGAGTGATCCCATGGATTCGAATGGCACAACTATAACAAACTTATTTAACAAGGATAATTATAGCGTTTAAATATGGACTATCCATGTGCTTTTGGAACCAAACACAATATTTTGAGCCAGAATCATTTTTCAAACATAATACAAAATTCCGAATTAGTATCTATCTAAATATTTAAGATAAATATACAGTATATTTAATAATTCAAAGATGCTACACAATTGTGAAATTAAGTTAGTACACAGACTGCGGATCGGTCACGGGACACAAAATTCTTGATTTTAAACATCGGACATTGTATATTTGCCTAGAAATATGAGTCCTCCGCTAACGCTTCGTACAATAATATATATAGTTGTATATATAATTGTATGGAAAGTCGTAGCTCTGGGATTAAATAAGCACCTTAAATTAATCTGGTAGGAAAAATTAAGATATAATAAAAATTCTAGAAAATGAGATAATTCATTGCCAAGAAAATTGTTTACAGAAAATGGTTACATATTAGATCGAATTTGTAAATGTTATATTGAGGTTACAATAGATCATAATACATATTATTTTATTTATACAGTAACCAAATTATTTGATAGAGAAAATAAACTTCAAATATGTTACTATGTATTCATATTTAGTTATATTTGTTAAACGACCGTTTAATGAATAGCTATATTAAGAATAGCCATTTGATTTTGATAAAAAATCACACAATTTATCTATTTCAAGATTTATCCTTGCACAATATTTGTTATTGTACAGTAACACAAGATAAATTGATAAATAAAATTAATTACATAACGATAAAGGCAGGTACAGTATAATAATAAGGCGAATCTAATGTTACACACTATATCTGTAACAACTTACATAGTACAGCCAATAAAAATAACTAAAAATTTGTGTAAACCAAACCTTAACTCTAACAACTATTGGCTAATACGAGGTTGTTACATGTAGCAGGTTGTTACGAATACATTTATTCTAATATTAATATATAATTTCTATAATCTAAATTATTGCAAAATTGTAACATTAACTGGATGTGAACGATTATTAAACCGTTTTACTGTGACTATTAATCGGAATTATTGTTAGGCAGATCAGTTCGGGCAGTAATTATCAGCTTAACTCGTCTGCCTCGCAGCCTCGCATGAAGAAGAAAATAGTTAGTATTACTTATTATGATTAGTTTAAAAATTGACTTTATAAATTAAAGATCACCTAACAATTTTGTATATAACTGCTGTTTAAGTTTAAATTTTAAAATATAAAACTTATTTCATAGCTTTTAACTTTCGGCTCAATTTGCGCATGATGGTAATCTGCATGGTGATGGCAAAATGTGCATTCTACATAGATCTCTATTTAGCACACAAAATAAAGATGGATCTTGAAATTTTAATAAGACCACAAATTTCACATTTCGAATTGCGTCTTGAAATTATTTCATTAACGTAAAATATGAGCTAAAAATACCCTAATTTAGATTATAGGAAATTTAAATTCTGATTCAGAAAAGCTGTTTAGTTTGTATATAACTTGTTTACAATTCTACAAAAATTGTAGACTTGTTTATTTCTGCAAATGATACATACTAATAAAGAAAAACCATCAATTTTTATACTAATAACTAATTTGAAATAATAAATTTTGTCTATTTATTTCGTTAAATAGGATCCCCAATTTTTAAAAATTTTTTTGAAATACAAATAAGATTTTTCAAACTCTCATTTATTGCGCTTTGCAAAAAAGAGTGACCCCCGCAGATCATGATATTATGTAAAATCACCGGAAGTTAGGCGATTTTTCGATTCTGAGAATTTTACAGATTTCAAAATAGATAGAAATATTACTGATTGAATATATGATGATAGACTATTTAGAATCTCATTATCGTTATCACAAAATTGTGGGGTTACACTTTTTTGCAAAGCGCAATAATTTCAGAATGAGCCATTCATTTGTTAGAATTTGATTTAGTGTTAAAGCATAACGATAACAATTTCTCTATATAGAATTTTGAGTTACCGTTACCAGCAATTTTTTGCTGATCTTAAAATTTCCTTTATTGGTGCATAACCAGCAATATAATTGTGCATTGTTGGATTTTTACCAATTTTAATCTTATCGTTATCAGGTTGAAATAAATGGGTATGTACAGTGTGTAACACAAAATACTAGTCTAAAAAAAGTCAAATTTGAAATTTAAATATTTCCAATATTAGAAGAATTATCGTTATCATTGTAGTACATTTTTTACTGTTATTTTGATGCATCAGTGGGACGACAGTGATTTTCAGGAAATCGTATTGCATTATAAGTAATTTAGAATTATTTTAATCCGATTAGAATTGCATTTATGCATAGCATATAGAGATAATTTGCTATTAAAATTAGTATTTTGTCTATCTACAATACGTAAATTCCACTGTAGAATATTATAAAATATTTAAAATCAATAAAACTAGATGTTTAATAAATTAACAATATTGTCTAATTTTGTTTTCAGTGACGCACACTCAGTAGACGTATGAATTTATATATAATTGACGCACCTTAACTTGGTGAGATGAACTTGGTGAGTTTAATTTGGTGAGATTGGTTTTCCTTATTAAAATCAATTGATAGGGTCAAATCCAATTACATTCTTGTTTACGAGGGAATAATAAATCCATTTGTTTCTCACTAACACTAAAAATTATTAGTTGGGAAAAAAAAGTAATGTGATGTAAACAACAAATAAACTACTCACATATATGCGTACGTACGCATGTATGCATGTATAACAAATAAACATTTGAAATTTTATATTGTTGCCTGTACGTTTGTGTACTTTCTAGGTCAAAATTTAACAAACAGTTTGTAGCCAAATTTCCAGATTTAGGGTTTCATTTATAACTTAATCTTAAGTTAGTCGATCAAATTGAAAAAATATTCTAGTACAACATGACGACATGTATATGCGCATAAATATTTAATCAGATTTTCATATCAAAATTTCTCTTAACCGAATTTTCTTCGGTTCTAATAGAATAGTAAATATGATTAATTTCTGGATAAAGTTATTAAGGTTAACTGTCGCTTTACTTTATATTCTTGCCCTCAAAAATGTAGTCCTGGGCGAATATAGGTCTATCAACGGAACTAATAATGATAAGGGCAATTTTGGAGCGGCGAACATGCCATTCGTTCGCGATAAAATGACTAAATACTACTATTATAATAATACAAACTTTACTATGATACTTACTCCTGGAAATTATGGTATTCCTCTGCTGCCTGTAAACTGTACAGATCCATTACCATTATTGAATTTCCCGTTGCCTAGATGCATTAGCAATATACTTCATTCTTTCCAATTAAACCCGAGTGATTCTTATAATTTGACACATATGGGTCGATTTAAATCTAAAAGAAGAGTTTCTCATATAGTAAACTTTTAAAAAATATCTTTTGTTGTATTTGGTCATTCATTAAATTTTTGATACATATTAAAATGCATATATATATGTATGTTTCCTTTTTAAAATATAGCTAACTTATTGGTGAGTATTAGTACCAGAATACATCTGATTTAATTCCTTATAAATAATTGACTCATATTACGATATTAACGATAATAATTATTTTTAGGGGCGCATTCATTAAGATGGATGTCAGTTCACACTTACTTTATCTTGTATACCAATTTTCTTTACGTTAAATTACTAATAATTGATTTTAATTAATTAGGTTAGTAATAAGTTATCCCCTGATTCGGGAACAATATTGCAAATCTATATTCCGGGTGATGATGTTAATTATCAGTCACAATATAGTACTTTTCTTGGCCCAAATCTTACAGTTACTCAAGTAAGATATCAAATTATAACATTCTGTAGGTAAATTAAATGTACATGTAATTTATTTTATTATTATCATATAGCCAAGTTTAGCATTCAATCGTTCATCAGGAAGCAATTTTTTGGGAAGCAATCAAGGAACACCTTTTCTTGACGCATCGCACATTTACGGAACTGTTGATTGGAAGCTTCATATGATTCGCGATTATGGAAATAAAGGAAAAATGAAACTTGATACAAATGGAATTTCTGATGATTTTGCTAATTTTGGTTATCCACCAAAGGTGACTTTTTTTTTTTAATATCACGATAAACAAATAACGTTTTTAAACATATTATTTTTCTAAAATTTAGGACCCACTTACCGGTGATTACATATTAGGGTATGATAAAAATTTAAAAAAAAAACCAATTTATTTATTTTTTTAATCATAACCTATATATTAATCATGTATTAATCTAAATAATAACAAAAATAATAAACAGGTATACCCCTAACAAAAGTAGAAATGCTTTCTCTGGTAAATAATATGCATCTTTCTTATAAAATGTATTGTATTGAATTCTCTATTTCTTAGTTATATAAATAATACTTTTTTTATAGACATGTTATACACCATTTTTTTACGTGAACACAATCGAAAATGTGATGAATCATTTGCGATTAATCATGCCAATTGGGATGATGAAAGATACTTTCAAGAAGCGCGAAAATGGGTTATTGCTCTCATACAAAAGATAACTTTTTACGAATATGGTACAATTTCAATATTGATATATATATATGTGTGCGTGTTAATAAAATTCTTTCTTATAACACGAATCTTGTGTCAATTCAGTTAGTATTCTATTGGGTGCTCCACTACCAGCATATACCGGTTACAATGCTAGCCTACGACCAGAAATTGACTCATTCTTTGTCACAGTAAGAACTTTTTCATTAAAAAATTTTTTATCGGATATAAATGTAATTTTTTCTATTATTATAACATTAGACAGCAATGCGTTATGGTCACAGTGAAGTTAGGTAAAATTCCACATCATTCATATTTACGAATTATTTTTCAATAATACCTAAAATATTATTTATTTTTCAATAAAGTGATGAATATCATATGGTCGATCGTAATGGATATACTACCACCACTTTGAAATTAAACCAACTTCAAGAACCCCATTTACTGTAAATAATAATATTTTACCTTTATATTGAATTTTTACATTTTTATAATTTCATTTATTTTTTTTTTATAGTGAGAAGTACGGTGTTCCAACACTTGCAGCTTCGATTGCTCTTCAAGTGTAATTTAATATTCCAATTTTTTTTTTTTTAAAAAAAAAAAATTTAACTATTGATATTACTTTGTTTTATTTATTAACTTTTATAACCTTTACTCGATATATTTATAGGCAAGATGAAGTTGATATATTTTTTGCTGATCAAATGAGATATTTCATGTATAAAACAGAACTTATGGATTTGGCGAGGTGAATAATCAATTTTTAATACTATATTAAGAATAAATTTTGTTAATATTTTCGATTTTGACATTTTATTAGTGTAGATATTACGAGAGGTCGCGATCACGGTGTCCTATTATATAATGATGCTAGAGAAGTGTTTAATTTAAGTCGTGCCAAGACTTGGTCTGATATTTCGTCTGATCCGCTTACTCAACAACGTTTACAAGCCGCATATGGCTCTGTTGACCTAGTTGAAGCTTTTCCAGGTGGTCTTGCTGAAGACCATGTTAATGGTTCAAATCTTGGTCCTCTATTTTACAATAGCTATGTGGATCAGGTAATATTTCTTGTTTCATTTAGTGATATTCATACATTAAATTAAGCATTAAAATAATCGTGTAATCTCATTTGACATTAAATGTACAGTGGACAAAAATACGTGATTTTGATAGGTTTTGGTTAGTTAAATTTTATCACCGTTTTTTTTTTTGAAAATTAATAATCTATTTTTTTCTAAAGAAACCATTAATTTCTAATAATAGGTATGAATCTCCGGCTGCTGGGTTCACACAAGATGAAATAGATTTAATTCATAATACAACCTTAGCAATGGTTATTAATCGTAATATGCCAAGTTATGCTTCTATGCCAACAAACATATGGATAGTTCAACCTCCTGCTGTTCCCAATGTTACCACCACAACGAATACATATCCTCAATTTAATAATTTAAAATTTTCCAATACGTATCAAGTTCAATGGAGGATTGATGGTTCCGACATTTACTTCCTAATGACAATGCAAAGCTCAAATGCTTGGTTTGCTATTGGACTCAATCCATCAGATAACGGCATGACGGTATATTTTTATCAAAAAAATTATGATTTTATGATTTTTAATATTTTTAATATTCTTATTTAAAATTTTTAATATATTAATCGTAGGATGCTGACATGATAATTATATCTGTCAATTCCTCTTCAAATGTAGACGTTGGTGTTTACAAATCTACTGGTTACCAACGTCCTAATGAAGTCAATGGAAATTTTATTACTGTTTTAAACAGTACAGTTTCTGGAGGATACACTCAAGTTGAATTAAAACGTTCCCTTAGTACACCTAATCTAAAACCAATTACTGATTCATCGATAAAAGGTGTGTATTATTTTTTGTATTACTTGTATTACACTTTTTTTGTAAAATGTAGCTTGATTTATATTATTATATTATTTATATATATTTATTAATGAAATTATTCTGTAGTAATTTATGCATTCAATCCAAATAGCTATCAACTAAATTATCATGGTGGAAATCGAGGGCTCATGCTAGTTAATTTCTTGACAGGACAAAGTAGTGCTGTTACTGGCACTACTGTTGTACAAAGTAACACCATGCAATTATTTCATGGAATTGGAATGTTTTCAATGTGGTGGTATGTAAATTCTGGCAAATATTGCTTTTCTTTACCATTTGTGTATTCTCACATTTAACATCTTGTCTTTCATAGTATCTTATTCCCAGGTACAATATTGCATAAAATATGCCTATAATAATTTTATAATTATTTGAGTAATTTATAGTATAACAATTTATTGAATTTTTTTTCACAATAAAATATAGTATCAATATGGATAGTAAGATATACGAGACATAAGGATACTTACATGTTCGAGGTATAAAATATTTAATTTAATGCATATGTAAAAAAAAATATAAGATTAATAATACATATATATTTATTAAAAATTATATAACAGCATCGTAATCTTCAAATCATCGGTGCTGTTTGTGTGGCTGTCTTCGGGGCAGTAGCCATGTCATCAGTTACAGTACAATTTAGAGTTAACCATGGAATGTACGTGTCCTTTTTACCACACAAAAAAAAAAAAAAAATCGGGTTTTTTCCTTGGAAATTAACATTTATATCTTTAAAATTTTGAATTTAGACTTGGTACCACTGTTTATGCTACTTTAGCTGCTCAAATTGGACTCGGATTATTGGCAATGTATGGATTGGCTAAAGTTGAATCTGCTGGTAAATAAATAACAAAATTTAACATAATATATTTATGCGTATTTTATCTCATATATATATATATATATATATATAGCAACTGGAATAGTACTTTGGATGAAATATACACATTTTTATCTTGGTGCGGCACTCATGGCTTGTGCATGGTATAAATTATAGAAATTCTTTTCGCTTGTTTTAAATTATAATTCTTTCAACGTTTAAAATAAATTAAACTCTTTATCATAATTTTAAAAATTTTCAAAATAGGGTTAATGTATACCTTGGAATACTTCAATATGGTCAAAATTATAATACTGACGTTCTTATACTAACTTATGCTTATTTAGCCTGGTTTGGTAAATTTTCAAGAAAAAAAAAACGTCATATTTAAATTAAAATAAATTTATAATTTATTAAAAAAAATTTTTTTTTTATTACAAATTTTATGATTTTTTAGTTTTGGTGGCCATAATCTTTTTAGTCAGTGAATTTTATTACAAGATCAAAAATCTTCAATTTTTATGGCCAACACAAAAAAACATAAATGGCCCTAATAAACGGCTTCACAATAGAATTCCTGCTAGGATTTATGAATCACTTCCTACTTACACATGGGAGGTATGTAAAATATATTTAACAAACTAACGCATGTTTTCAATTAGATAAAAGTATTACTTCATATTGTCTTATTTTATTTATTTTATTTATTTTATTGTCTTATTGTGACATATATAGGAATTTAATGATAAAATTTTGACCGGTGCTTGTCTTGTTGTGGCAGAAGGATTGGTATTTGATGTTCATAAATGGATAAAAGTTCATCCTGGTGGGCAAAGAATTTTACGTAGAGTGGTATGAAATCTTTCTTTTTTAAAAAAACCCCTTGAATCATGAATCTTTTTAAAATAATTTTTTTTTAATTTTTTAAAGATTGGGACAGATATTACCAATGATTTCTTTTTTGATCCCAATGTACAAATGGCTATAATCAGTAATTGGAATAGTGAAAAAGGAAAATTAGATGAAATACCTACTGAATCTGCTTTACCAGATGAGTCATCACGACTTCCATTGAAACGAAAAAAAGTAACTTCTCATGTTCCAAATTCAACCGCAAGAACAATTGATTTAATTAATAGTATAACCTTTAAAAATACTCGAGTTGCAATGCACAGACATTCTAAATTTGCAACTTCTAGGTTGGCAACAATGGTTGTAGGTAATGTGTAACATTTACTTATATTTACTTACTTATATCTATTTTTGTTTTAGATGTTATTTGAAATTTAAAGTGTAAAAAAATTAATTGATTAAATTTTTAATATAATAGGACGCATTTCTGATTATGAGTCTGAAAAAGTTGATAACCCAATCGGTGGTAATGGATTTTTTCCAACTGCAATTGCAAAACTTGACGTTGCAAAACTTCCACCACATGCATTTAGAAGGTTTATTCTTATAAATGTTGAAGAAGTTACAAGATATGATGCCGAAATTCCTGTTAAAAAGTTTACTTTTCAAATTATTCATCCATTTGATAAATTACCAAAAATTTTACCTGGTGATTACATTGAAGTTATGAGTTATACGAATAAATCTACTATTGTTCGACAATATACAGCACTTAAAGGACCAACTGAGAATACCTTTTCAATTATTGTAAAGATTTATAGCGATGGTGTTATGTCTCAACATTTGGTAAAAACATATTTTTTATGATATGATTGTTATTCAATTCATTATATATATATATTGCTTACAATGTCTATTTTTTTCAAATATTTATTAGCATAAACAACTTAAAAATTTTGAGATTGCTGTTCGAGGACCATTTGATGTTTCAGAACGAATTGTACCAACTTCATCAATCGTTCCTAATTTTGAACCATCAGGATTACGATATAGACCTTCTACTCGTCATGGTACTCGGTCAGTTGTTAGTAGTAGGTATAAAGCACCAATAACAGATGATTCTAGTGAAAAGGAATCCCCATCTCGACCGAGAATTTTATTAAATCATAAAAGAGATGACAAGTGTTGGGATCGTCTATTTCTTATCTGTGGAGGTTCAGGTAGATTATCAATTTAATCATGCAATCTAATTATTATTTTTTTTATTCTAACGGTAAATACTTGTATAAATTTAGGCATAACTCCGGGACTTCAATTGGTAGGTCTTTTAAAATGATCTATTTTTGTTAAAAATACTTATCACTATAAATTTATTAATATTTAATTATTTTATATAGATCGAATACCATTTAGATCAAGCAGAAGAATTAAATTCAGATTTTAATATTCATTTACTTTTTGCAAATCATTCAATTGAAGATATTATTAATTATAAATATCTTATGTTTCTTCAAGAAAATAGTGATGACAAATTTACAGTAGATTTTATTCTATCAAAAGCACCACCGGCATGGAAAGGTTATGCAGGACACATAGATGATAGAATATTATATCATTGGATGCATGAACGTTATAAAATTGATCCACCACCAAAAATTCCTGAAAGACCAAATATTAATCAATCAAGAACTCAATCAAGAACTTCTTATCGTAATAATGAAACAGATGATATTTTTGAAGATACTACTGCAATTCATTCTGATGAAGATAATGATACTTTATCAACCACTCGAGGTCATTCTTTTATTTCAAATAGAACAATGAATTCACGTCCACCAACAAGTGTTTTATTAATGATGAATGAAATACAAGAATATATGGACCTTCTATCAAGTGATGATTCACAAGAAATAAGAATCATGGTTTGTGGTCCTCCAGCTATGATGGATAGTGTCAGAATAAATCTAGGAAAATTAGGATTCCCTGATGAAAAAGTTATATTCATCTCATGATTTTTTACGAATTCATTTTATTATTTATGAAATTTAATCAATTTTTAAGTTGATAAAAGGTTTTTATTTTTCTGTTACATCGTTGACAAATTAAAAAATTCTAAAATTACTTTTTTTTAACGTAAAAAAAAATCAAAAAAAAAACATTATAATAGGAAACTATCCATTTATAACATTCTTAGTATTATTATCAATAGTAATTCATATGCTAATGGCACTTTCATAAATTACCAATTGTAAAAATTATCATGATTTTTTTTTGAAATTGTGATTCTTTATATTCGTTCTTGAAAATAAATTATTAACTCAATCTATCCAAATATACACTCCACATATAAAACAATAATTTTTTTTATATACAAATCAGTCCTTGCATAGTAGGCAAAGTTGTTTAACATAACGATTAACATATAATTTGAGAATTTTAGAAAATTTGATAAATTTTTTGGGGTTATTTTTAGCACTTTAGGTCTTAGTAAATGAAAATAAAAAAAAATAAATAAACCTTGTTTATGGCAATGCATTCTTAAACCATATTATAAATATTCATTGAAATTTATTGAGGTTATTCTCTGAGTCCTAGAGCATGTAAGATTAAATTTTTATAAAAAAATTATTAAAGGTTCTTGAGAATCATTGTACTTAATTCAAAATTTTAATTTTTAAAAAAAATCTTATTTTTGGTATTTTAAAATTTTACATAATAAAACATTATAAATTTTTTTTTTTTTAAATATTAATGGTTAGGTCATGTCTCTATCTTTATTGAATATTTAACTGAGATTTTTATATAAAATTTAAATCTACTTTTAAAATATTATAGTAAGAATAGAAGTTCAGACTAATTTATCTGCAATCTAAACCTATTGGAGTGATTAAGGCTTACCTAGATTTGGGTATTAGTAATAATATATAAGAGATTAGTTTAATATTTAATCTTTGTATATATCAAGAATTAATTTTAGAGCTAATAGTATTAAGAAAAGAAGTTTGCACTAATTGCAAAATGGAATTAAAAGGTAAGTTAGAAATATAAAGATGAATTGTAGATCTTGAAATACAGTAAGGAAACCAAATTTTGTGATAAATTTGTTGATTAAGATGAAATAAGAATTTAGTAATAAGTGTTATAGATATTTTTGTAGATGATAAGTCTGTAACTATAGTAATAAATTCATTTGGTACTAAGCTTGATAGAGTTGAAGAAATTGAAAATGGTCTAGTATACTATAAATAGACATGCAGTTTAGTTGTTTGATTTGATGATATAGATTAGTTATAATTTCTGAAATTGTATTAAGAGTAGTAATATTAAGAGTATGTTGTAATAATTTATTTATAAGATTATTTAATAATTGATTAGATATACAAATTGTCTAATGAAGATGAGAGCTGGTGTGATGACATTGGTAATAGGTAGGTAGATATGAATAATAATGTTTGAGTAAAGTGTGTGATGCAGAAAGTTTATTCAATAAAATTTTAATTCTAAAGAACTTAAGAGTAGATGATTGAAAGCTATATAAAAAATTTGAAATTTTTTGATTGTTTTTAATATACAGCCAAGTGGCTTGTTAGTTGATTTGGTTAAAAATTTTTTTCCATTTAATAATACAGTTTTGAGTAATCCATAGTACATAATATGTATATAACAAATTGTATAAATATTGTGATGAGTTGGTAGTTTAAGAGAAAAATTCTTAAGAATAAGAATATAAGCTGGATTATAAATATTATATGTCATAAAAGTAAGATATGACAACTTATAATGATTATGTGTAAGTTGATCAGCTAATTTATTGTATGTATTATCTTAATAAGCAGTAATTTTGTAAAAGATAATTTGAATTTTGTATGAGTTAATAAAGTTGACAAGTATATTCCAAAATAAAAAATATAGTATATGTTATGTGTATATAATAAAATAGTAAAGAAATTTAAAAGATTTTGGTATTTTGAAATTACAGATTAAAGTCTGTGTATATATTTACAATACAGTTTCTAAAAGTAGTAATAAGAGTTGATAAGATAGTAGTAAGTTCTGATTTGAATGACTAAAATCAAAGTTTGACTTGTAACTAAAATATATATAATATAGAATTATTGTCAACTTTGACCTATCTAATGCCCATAAAACATTGAGAAATATCCAAATTAATAACAGAGTTATCAGTATAGAACTGAAGTTCTTGTTGGTTAATGTTATAATTGGTAATTTGTTGGAGTTTATGAATTAGTATACAGAATTCAAAGATAGTTGGAATTGAGTTTGTTGAAATAATAATATTGGGTGGGCTTGGAGTTTAAGTAGAGTGTCTAATTGCAACTGAGTATAAAAGGTCCAAATAATTGGCATTAAAATTAAGAGTTTTGTTATTTGTATTAACTTGACCAAAAAATTAAATTATAAGATTAGTAGAAATAGCAATTGTATATTTGTTATTAATTGTATATGAGTTAAGAAAACAACTAGGATATGTCTTTGATTAAATAGATGTAAGTAGATATAAGCAAATAAATTGTAATTTAATTTGACATTGGCAATAAATAATAAGTACAATGCCAAATTGAGAAGATTGTCTTCTGGTTTTATCAATAATGATTTGGTTATTAAGTACTATAATAAGCCAGAGTTTTTTTACATAATAAGAAGTGTTCAGTTGTATAACTATAGTAGTTAGTATCAGATAGATGTAAGTGTGAATATAGTATATAGTTATAGGAATAACTTGTAACTTGATCTTCTAAATAGATAAACCAGAGAGGTTGTTTGCCTTTTGGAATTTTATGAATGCAAGGAAAGATATGTTTTTAGTCCAATAAGCATAAATTATCAAATATAAAAAGCTAGTCTAAATATAGAATATTATAATATTTAAATTGTTTTTTAAAAGTTGATATTTAGCTTATAAGCAAAAAAAGGATTCTAATAAGATAGAGCCCTTTTGAATAGTATATAGAATGTTGTAAGTTGTGTTAGAGACAAATGTTATACTGAGATGTTTGAAAAATTAAATAATTTTAAAGTTAGTAGAATGTTTTTTGGTCTATCAATAGTAGGATTATTGTGTAATAGTATACTAGTATATGACCAAAGATTATTTTGAAGTTGCTGAACTCAAATATAAGTACTAATCCAAGAAGATCAGAAGAGTTAAGTTTTTTGGTATAGTTAATAATATAGTATTGTAGTTGAATATCTTATATGTTATGGATATTATATAATTAAGAATAAAATAAAGTACTAGTAGAAGTTATATGACTAAGTTTGGCTTTACTTTTAACAAGTTCAATATAGTTTGTAAGGATTTTGTTACAAGTGTTTTAATTAAGAATTATGTTATGAAGGTAATATTCAATTGTAGAAATAATAACCATATTGATAATATATCATGCATGTATATCAATGATTTGTTTAGTGTTTGCAATTTTAATAATATATGAAGACTCAATCATAATAAGCTTTATCTGTTTTGTTTGTTTGTTATTAAGTGTAAACCAGCATTCTAAAAACTTGAATGGTTTACTTAAAAGATAAAGTTTAAATAAATAATTATTGTATATAATAGAATTATAGTTGATTAAAGGTTTATTAGTTGTAAGTATGAATTTAATAGGATTGATTTGAATGTTTGCCATATTGTAGAAAGGTTTTACTATATTAAGAATTTGTGAAAGCTCTTGCTATAAGAATGTGATCCAAAGAGTATCATCTATATAAGTAAGAACTGAACAATATGATTCATGTTTGTTATATGGGGTGTTCCCAATTAAAAGGACCCATTTTTACATATAAACAATTTTGAGTAAATCGGGTTTAAAAAATGCAGATCAACATGTGGTCATCCAAATTTGTGATCTAAAAATAGCATTCTCATAGTTCTAGAAATTTCGTCTAATGATCTTTTTTTAAAAACTGTACAGTACGTATGATTTTTTTAAAAACTAGCCCCAGTTCTTTTAAATTCTGTGAACTAGGTTCAAAAACTACTAGTACGAAGTTTTTTT